TTGTCATTGAAGCTGTTTTGAGAAAAACGTGTAAATAAATTCTATAAAATTACCTCTCATCTTGTGAGGAAAGAGCCTGAAGACGTTCAAATCAGGGAGTACAAAGTATAAAATAAATACACACAATTATACATCATATGCATTGTCGTTTTCATGGTAACGTGATATGTTGCAGCAAAGTGCTGTCCCATACCTATTTACACCATCTCAAGCCCTCACAGTCTCTCACACTCAACCACTTACCAGGTGACGTCAGTAAGTCCTTGAGGGTTCAGGGTTTGAGGCTTTAGGGGGGACATTGGGATTGGGCCAAAACCCTCTGGGACTAATCAGGACAAAATGTTGTTTAGTGTCATAATAGCTGGAATATCGAAGGACTCCCAGTAGGTGGAGCCACAGTATTTACTATCTGTAGTCCATGGCTGTGCTCAACTTCTGCTTCACCCAAATCACATTATTTTGCCATCATTAGCCTCATTTTTTGTCTCCCATCAGTGCACGTGTGCTGACGTGGAAAGTCACCTGTATTTGTACTTGAGATACTTGTAGGCCTAACGTTACTGTTTGTGAATATTTCCATGCTACTTTTTAAAAAAATTGTTGGACTTTGGAGGTAGGCTACTTACTAATTATTGTACTTATTTTGACAGCTTTGGGGTTTGCAGATTCATTTTTATATATGATCATAGTATACAATGTGTAGACTATTGCAGGTTAAACTACCCACTAGAATATAAAGGGGTTAGCTCCACTCTGACTAAAATGGGTATGAGTGTAATATTAATCCAATAACATAAAGCAGCCTGTACTGTATGATAATGTATCACTATGAAAGAGGGCAATGCTGGAAAATGATTACTTTCACTTTTAAAATCTGAGTACATTTTGCTGAAAATACTTCTATACTTTTATATATAACTTGGGTACATTTTTAACTGCAGGGCTAGTTTTTTAAGTGTTCTTTTTTTACGTCTTTTATTTTGGACGTTTTGTCACTGCAGTCGGTGCATTTCCTGTTGCGCTTTTATTTTGAAGGTACACAACCGGACGTAGGAAGCGGTACGAAACGAAAAGTCGCCTAAGGCAGTGATTCTTAACAACGATTGGGCCGCAAGCGCCACCTAGAGGGCCGCAAAAAACTTTCAGTTTTGCACCTGTGGGCTGCGAGGGCCGCGGGACCGCATAGGTTATCAATTGAAGACACCAGAGATATTACTGTTCTCCATGAGACGCTCAGTTACAATATAGCTTCCCACCACCTGGTGGCGGTAATGCATCAGCCAGTTGTTTAACAAGCTACAATAAGCAGAAGACGACACTCAGCTAGCCGCTAGCCTGTAGCGAAAGTTATGGATACATTTTTAAAAAGAAAAAATGAAGACGACAGTGGTGCCATACCCC